TTGTCTTCTATGACTATACAAACGTCTAACGCCCATCCCTTCACATCCAATGATGGGGCTTCTTACTAAAACAATGGTAAGATAGCAACATCTAATGGAGGAGGAAAAGAACATTAAAGACCTTTTTAGTAGGTAGGACGCCCTTAGTTGCTTACTAGCTCACAACAAAAACATTTTATACACCAACACTCTCACTTTGAAACATTTCCAAAAGACAAACACTTTGTACGTGTTCTTATAGAAACGAGAGCCATTACAAAGACACCTTTTCAAAATCACTTTTAAAAACACATTCCACAAACACCTCTTTGAACTATTTTCCAAACAACACTTTGTATGCATTCTTATAGAAACGAGAACCATTACAAAGACGTTTTAAAAATACTTTCAAAACCCACACCACAAGCACATTTTCAAACAAAAGCAAGTGATCTAATAAGCAACTAAGAGCCCGTAGATAACTACGGATGGAAAGGGTGTTAATACCTTCCCTTTTCATAACCTACCCCCCGAACTGAAGAAATAATCTCGAAAGGTCTTTCTTGTTCTTTTCAACCTTTCCTTATTGGATAAAAGAAAAGTCGGTGGAGACTCTTGGTATCTGCAACAATTGCAATCAAACGCAAAACACCAAGTCATATCTCTCGTCGTGTTACAGTGACCTAGTAATCAAGCGCATCATCTTGCCACAAGATGATCCCAGGGGCAAGTGGACTCTAACATACGAAGGACCATTTTTTATCAAGAGTATATTTTCTGGTGGAGCCATGATATTAACCACTATGGACGGTGACGACCTTCCGCACCCTGTAAATACAGACATAGTTAAAAGATACTACGCATGAAAAGAGACCCGATAGGTTGATTGACCTTGGAAAAAATAAGGGCATCCCGACGAACCAAAAGAGTTCGGGCAAAAATTAGGGATATATATATATATATATATATATATATATATATATATATATATATATATATATATATATATATATATATATATATATATATATATATATATATATATATATATATATATATATATATATATGAAAAAATATGTACACCCGGCAAGTCGAAAACCTGAAAAGGCGACTTGGGCAAAAAAGGGTATCCCGGTGGACTGAAAACCTAAAAGGGCGGTCCAGGAAAAAATTAGGGATTAAAAGTGTATGACTATGTCCTGTTGGATCACCTTACAACCAGACTTCATTATAAAATTGACAAGTTTGAATGGTACGAATAAATCCAGCCAGCTTCTGCCAAGCAGCAAAGCGATGAGACGCTCAAAGATATAAAGGCAATAACAGAATTGAAACCCAATGGGATTATTTCACATAGCTTTTTTTCCTTTTGTGAACCACGTTGTATATTTCTCATTTTTTACGACGACATTCCTCTTATTAGGATGTCCGTTTCCTTGTACAAAAATGCATGTTATAGGAAAACTTTCTTAAATTAATACAAGATCACCTCTTTCAAAGTTCAAAACTATTTGTTTTTGTTTTTCTGTTTTGTTTGTGAAAACGTCCATTGATTATGTTAAATGAACATACGCATTTGAATATGATTATCGTTTACAAATATATGAATAAAAACGGAAAGACAATTACTAAGGGATTTAAGAGTTGGGTCAATGTCGAAAACTCATCTGTAAATCCCCACAGAGCAATCACCCCTAGGGGACTATCTTCACAAACTCATCATCAGCAAAGATACATTCCTCGATAAAAAGGATCAATCATTTCTCTAACATTTTGGGGACTTCCCCAGCAGGGTCTATGGACCTCTTGGATTCCCCAACAGATTTTCATAAAATCGCCAAGCAGTTTATGAATTTTCTTTCCCCGGTAGAGTTTATTTCTCTACGGAAGTCCATCCCCCATTGAAGTTTATTTCTCCAAATTGTTAAAATCTTTCACCAATAATCTTTTTGATCAAGATAACTACCTCCAGAAGAGTTTCCACTCACATCAGAGGGTTATTCATTCTTCCATCCCCAGTCAGAGTGCAGGTAACCCATGATGGGCTATCAACTTCCCTTGAAGATTTTTATCCTCAAGCAGAAATCAAAATCTCCCGTGGAATATCCTCAGGTAGAAGGCAGGAATCCCCAACCATTTAACTTTAAAAAAATAGTGAGGAATATAATTCTTCATCTCTGACAGCAGTCAGGGATTTATTTTTCCCAGTTCAACGACACTACAAAGAGCAACGGATACGCTCACATTCATACATCATTTACAAAAGTCATAGCATATACATATAACACAATCTCATTTATTTTGAGAACATCATTCCGCAATGCATTTCATACATCATGACATTACATACAGCTAACATTTTACCTTTTCAGGAAAAGATATATCAACAGACCAACATCATCAATTACTGGTCACTGCATATTGCTTCAAATTTGATATTCCACGAGAGAACCAAACATATTGAGATAGACTGTCACTTTATTAGAGAGAAGATCGAATCAAGCGACATTGCCACAAACTTTATCAACTCTAATGACCAATTGACCGATGTGTTTATAAAATCTCTACGAAGTCTCAGAACCAACTCTATATGTAACAAGTTTGGTACATTTAATTTATATGCCCAAGCTTGAGAGAGAATGTTGATATTTATATATTAAATAAAAATATTTTCTAAAATATTATTTAATATATTCTAAAATAGGATCAATATATAATTAATATATAATTAATACTGTTAATTTATAATTTTTTATATATATTATTTTCTGTTATGCTATTCAACACACAATTTTTATTCATAATTCCTCTTATAACTTTAGATTTTCCTCTTGAAAGTTTTTATTGTAATATTTCATTTTTAATATACAGTAGAAGCTTGCATTAAAAAAACTACTGCATAAATCAAAGACAAAATATAATATAAAATTAATACAAACACAATTAATACAAAAATGTTACCACTCAATTATTACATACATAATTATAATTTTTAACATGAAAAATTACAGATTTTTTAATATGAAAAATTACAGATTATACTTATTTTTTAATATGATCAAAAAATTTGGATTGTCATACTAAGGTAGTACTCCCTTAGCCGTATTGAATACTCTCAAAATTCACTTTTTTTTAATTTATTAAATAATTAATATATCTGATTTATAAGATCATATATATTAATTATTTAATAAATTTAAAAAATAAATTTCTTTTATAACTATAAGAGAGTATGAATTAACATCATACATACAAGAAGTGGCTTTACTTAGACTATTACATTGTACTATCTTATTTTCCCTTTAATATTAGTAATTAATTTATTTATATTTTGTTATTTGATATGTTTCAAAAATATTAAATATATTTATTTTATAATATTAATTTTAATATATTGAATATTATATTTTATAGATAAGTCATTAAAAATTTGTTAATATATTTTTAAGATGAAAAATGCTTATTAATAAAAAATTATGATAATAAGAAAGACAAGAATTAAATTTTAACTATTCATTATGATTACTATCTCATAATTCCTATTAAAAAAGAAATTAAATTGAAAATAAACTTAAAATTTATCTTCTGAAATAATGATAAATATATATTTTTATATTTCTTATTCATACATTTTTATTATATAACATTATTTCTTTAAAATCCCATTAAAAACTTAGAATAAAAAAATTCAGAAATAGAAGATTCATGTCGGTGTATAAATATTAAATTAACTTTAAACTGAATTTACTAAGACTATATATAATAAGAGTGTTGAAAAAATTATTTAATAATTGAATATGTGTAATGGAGTGTTGAATAAAAAATTAAAAATGAGATAGATTAATATGTGTTGAAAATATTCAACATGTTAAATGAAGTAAGAGTAAGACCACGTATAATACTTTACAAAATCTTAACAATTATTGTGATTGTTTAGATTTTATTTCACCTTAACTATTTAGAATCAATTATTTTATAATAAATTTATTTTTTATTTATTTTTATTTTCATCAAAATTTATTATTTTTTATCTATAAATAAATATTTGGTTTATTTAATTTGAACATAAAAAAAATTATAAAATTAAAATAAATTATTAAATTAAAAAATTAAAATAAATTATTTAACCTTTAATTATTTTAATTTTATTTTAATCGATAATTAATATTAATATAAAATCATAAAAACAAAAATATAAAAAAAATAAAAATAAAAATAGTAAAATAAGATGTTAAATTTTATTAAACAAATAAATAAAAATTAAATTATTATATAAAAAAAGAGAAATAATTTAAAATATAAAAAATAAAAAGTGAAAGTGTTAAATATGTAATTTATTGTACATGATCTAATGTCAGTGATGAAATCTGACTTAACTAAGCAAGACGTGTATTTTTATATTTCACTCTCAACCATCTAACTTTGCACCTATCTCTTCTCTCAAGTCATTTTCCCAATACATTATAAAACTATTATTATTTATTTCACTATCACACAATTTCAATCTAGCTACCTATTAATACCATACATGTATACACTTTCTTTCTTTCTGTTCCCCACACACACTTGATATTATTTCAAAATTATTATTATTATTATTATTTATTTTTATATTTTTATTTGTGAAGCGGTGGAAGTGGCAACAAAACAACTGTATCTCACTTCCATGACTTACCCATAATTTTCTTATTTATTAAAATTTTCTTATGTTTCTTCTTTTTGTACCAATTATTCAATACACTTTGATTGATTAATTCTAGTTTTGTAATGAACTTGCTGCTTCATTTATTATCAACTTCACTCTTACTTGGATCATCACTTCATTCTTTTAATTAATGTCTATTTAAATAAGGTTCAATCTTTCATTCTATTTTTCTATTTTTTCATACTTCATTCTCTCATTTCATGAATTCAGAAGCTACAAAAAGTGTGCATTCATTCATGTCCTTTATGTGTTTGAAAAATGGTCTCAACAAAAAACCAACTTCATATTTGTTTAGCTTTGAATCCATCAGGTAGATGATGCAAGGAAGCTTGAGAGTTGCTAGTAAAGGTGGAAAATCTTCAACCATTGAAAGAAAGTTGGCATTGCAACAAGATGTATGTTTATGCTATTATTGATTGACTTGAATTCTTGTCCCTAATTGGAAACTGAGTTGAATTCTGTCAATTTTCAGGTGGATCGTTTGAAGAAGAAGCTTAAGCATGAGAACAACATTCACATGGCATTGGAGAGAGCTTTCAATAGACCTTTAGGACTTTTACCTCGTCTTCCTCCTTATCTACCACCCTATGTTAGTAAATTAATCTCTTTTTCACTGTTTTTTCTTATGTTTTTAAGTGATTTTTTTTTAATAAGTGCTTTTGTAAAACAATTTTCAGTGTTTAGAGTTATTATTAATGTTGAAGAAACCTGTATGTAGATACTAGCACTTCTGGCTGAAGTGGCAGTTTTGGAAGAGGAAATTGTTAGGCTTGAAGGGAAAGTTGTGCATTTTAGGCAGGGTTTGTATCAAGAAGCTGTTTACATGTCATCTTGTAAGACCAAATTGGAGAATTCGTCGCCTCATCCCAACAATTCAAACGCAACAACAACAATGGATAGTCCTAGATTAGATGAATTGAAGCCTCTTTCGCAAACAGTTGATGATCCAGAAGGAACATCTGCAACTAGGCCTATCATAGGTGAGAAAGATCAACTCATCATTGTGTTTTCGCATGTTTGGCTTAATGAAGTATTGGTTTTAAGTTCCGCGGTAAGAGTTTGACTTTGTAATCTCGAGTGACGGAGTTCCAATTCCACCGGAATAGTTGTAAAATAGCAATTAGTATCGAAGTTTCATTCCCTCGTGGATTTTGCTTGTTTGGTTTTTCAGAGAATGTCCAAGGAAAAGAGAATCAATTCTGCAATGATTCTTTCAAAAGCAGGCTTCAACCGTCGAAACAAATGAGTAAAACCCAAATTAAAAATCTTCATGTTGACAATAAGTCATTGCATAAAAAAGCGCACTCTCCAAAAAAGAAGGTAATTTTCATCTGTGTTTTGGTTAAAGTAGGTGAAAAGAAAGAAATTCCTTGAAGTCATTAATGATTGTGAATCGTGATGTTTCCCACTGTGCAGCAAGAACCAAAGGTAAAAGATCAGCAAGTGTCAGAATTAAGACATCCTAGTCCACACCAAATGCCAACAGAAGCTGACAGTCCAAATGTGATTTCTGAAAATATTCTAAAGTGCTTGTCAAGCATTCTCTTGAGGATGAGTTCTGTGAAGAATTCAGGTTTTGTAGGCGACATATTGACTCGAAAACCTCGAAACTGTGTGGAAGGAACAGAGTTTTCGGATCCGTATGGCTTCTGTCTGGAATTTGGAAAGAGGGATATTGGTCCCTACAAGCATTTATGTGCAATTGATGCTAAATCCTTCAACACAAAACGAACTGCAAATACTTTGTTTTTACTACACCGATTGAAGTATGTCATATTCTATTTTTGTGCAAATACTTTATTTTGAATTAGTTACTTTTACTCTGAATAAGAAATTTATCAACTACAATAGTTTGATTCCGGGAATCTTGCAGACTTCTTTTTAGGAAGCTAGCCTCTGTCAACATGGAGAACCTCAACCATCAGGAGAAGCTCGCATTTTGGATCAACACCTATAACTCGTGTATGATGAATGTATGTGTGTTTATGTCTACTAGAATAACATAGAGTGCAGTATAACTTGTATTTTAAATTTGCTGATTTTTAAGCACAACATTTATTGATGTCTTACTCTTTTATTCAGGCATTCATAGAGAATGGTATACCAGAGAGTCCTGAAATGGCTGTTGCAATGATGCGGAAGGTACGGGACTATAGGGAAATTTTGTTCTTATTCTTCTGATTGAGTATATAAAACAACGTAGCTTAAATATGCTCAACGATTTATGTGGTTTACTTGTTATGTAGGCAAAAATAGATGTTGGTGGATACGTACTAAGCGCAACAACCATAGAGCATTTCATTTTAAGACTTCCTTATCACTACAAATTCGTAAGTCTTGTCCATTTCAACTCTTGCATTTCAATGGATGAGAATAAATAGTTAACAACTGAATTCCAAAACAGACGTTTTCGAAGGGAGCGAAAAATCATGAAATGATAGCAAGAAGCATATATGGACTCGAACTGTCAGAACCTCTGGTGACATTTGCTCTCTCTTGTGGAACTTGGTCCTCTCCTGCTGTAAGTTGTTGAGTAATTCACATAGAAATTTTGTTTTCCTCTTCAAGTCGATATCATTCTGGCAATTGCTTCGGTAAAGCTTTCTCATGATCTATGATGCCAAATGCAGGTGAGAGTTTACACATCATCCCAAGTGGAGAATGAACTGGAAGTGGCCAAAAGAGAGTATTTACAAGCAACAGTTGGAATTTCAACAACCAAGTTTGCTATCCCAAAGCTTCTGGATTGGTATTTACAGAATTTCGCAAAAGATTTAGAATCCTTGATGGACTGGATCTGCCTTCAGTTACCAAGTGAACTTGGAAAAGAAGCTATTAAATTACTTGAGAAAAGAAAAACTGAACCCCTCTCACAGTTTGTACAAATCATGCCTTATGAGTTCAGCTTTAGATACTTGCTTTGCACATAATTTTGATCTAGTTTTTCTTTATATTGTTTTATTGGTGTTGGGAATGCAATTTTGTATACAACTGTAGATCATTCATAAAAAAATAAATAATGTAAATGGGATCATCTGTTATTTTATCCCATTCTGTAGCTTTCTTCAGATTCCTTCATAACTACAATGAATAAAGTAAGCAATGCAATTTGCATGTTCTATGGAATTTCAACTATACATGTATCTGTTTGTATTGAATCCTTTTATAAAACAAGGTGTGAATAGGGTCAAATATGATTCTCTTTTTCTGCATGGAACAAATTGACAAGTAACTGCATTGAGAAACAAAGGGTGCTAAGTAATGAAGGGTATACAATAGTATGAGCTGTATATATTAAATGAGTTTCTGATACACTAAATAGTGGTGCATTCACATCATGTACTGAAGATCATTGTTCAATATCCAAAGCAAGAGTGATGATAGTGAAATATAGTTGGGACAAGTGTTGTGGTCCATTTCAAACAAGGCTGTTTTTGGTGTGGAAACAAACACAAGAAGAAACATCTTTAATAAATATACTTGCAAAGCAATTAAGTGCTTTCTCATATCCAGCTCAATTATGGTGTTCACTTTGCTTTGGTGGCATGCAGTTACATGCAGCAAAAAGGCTTATTCATTTTCTTACTTAGTTTTCTCATTGTATATTGTTGTGGTTACAAGTTACATCAACCAAGAAAATAACTACTAGAATATCAACTTTTGATTTCCTTGGTACATACTCAAGATTTATGGTTTACAAACTTTATTCATTTTTCTAAAATTAATTATATAATAAAATAGATTCTTCAGCCATAGGTTCAAAGTTTAAAGAGGTACTTTTTGTTTCTTATACTCTTTTTAATGATATTTCCATGAATAGGCAAATAATGTATAGATGATTGACATAATTGGAATGTATAACTTTGTCTTATACCAAAAAAATGGAGAAAAGTAATAGCCTTTTATAAGTTATAGTACTGGATTCAGATTAAATTTAGAGTGGTCCTGATTTTGGCTTTTGTAACAATGAGGAACCCTATCTACCACTACCAAACCTTACCCTCATTAACTAATGAATCATTCATTTTGTCTATATTAGTTTGAAATAAATTTATACTTTGATTATTCTATAAAGGAAAATCTTCTTCCTTGTTCACATTGGTTCATTGGGTAACTGCCAAGTCACATAAATTAAAAAGAAAATTTAAAAAAACTAAAAAATTCAATTTAAATCATGTAAAAATAAAAAAATAAAATAGTTTTTAATCCTTAAAACATGTTAATTGAAATGATTCATTTCTTAGATATTTATGTTCTTTTAATTAATAAAAAAATAAAGAGAGAAGAAATAAAACAAAAGATAAATAGTTTAAAAAATAGAAATGAAATCATTATGTAATATTTATTTAATAGTTAAAACAAAAGATAACATATCATTCAATATTTATTTATTTTTCAACTTAAAGAAAGCATAACTAAAATAAAAGACAAATAAAAATAAAAGAAATAAAATAAAATACATAGTTACTTCCCATGAATTTCTTGTCATACAACGCTTTGTTTAGTGTTATTACTTTGACATTAATGACTTTAGTGGTCTTTGAACATTAAGAATACTTGTTTGTGTGGTAACCGTTGAGATATTAGATCTAATCTAAGTTATATAATTAAAGTCTAAGTTTAATTAAGGTTTGTTAGTTTATTTAGTATATAAGTTAGGTATATATAAATTGTCATATTTTGTGTTATTATTTGTAACAGTAATTCAATAATAAAACTTTATGAACTTTATTTCATTATTCTCTCTTTCTCTTTCTCTCTCTCTCTCACTAAAAGTATCTCACACGCCTCGCTCTATGGTCTCAAACAGGCACCTAAGATATGGAACAAGAAGATCAACTCATACTTAGGATTTGTAAGATGCAAGTCTGAGTATGGTGTATATGTTCAGGTTGTGGTGCAAGATATAACAATCATCTGCTTATATGTCGATGACTTGCTATTTACTATAAATAGTTGGGAGAACTTGTCGAAGTTCAAAGAGCTCATGATGAGAAAATTTGAAATGTCGGGTTTGTGAAAATTGTCATATTTCTTAGAGATGGAATTTCAAATTTTGAAGTAAGGTATGGGGCTACATCAAAGGAAGTATGTAAAAGAGATACTCAGAAGATTCAGGATGGATGATTCGGCTCCAGCATCTTCGCATGTGGAACCAAATTTAAAGTTGGAGAAGCATGGAGAGGAAGACAAAGTCGATGCAACTTTGTTTAAACAAATAGTTGGATCTCTGATGTATGTGTGTAACAGTCAACCTGATATAGATTTCACAGTCATATTAGTGAGCAGATACATGAGTGAATCAAGAGTGTCACACATGAAGGCTGCAAGAAGAATTATGAGATACCTAAAAGGATCAATAAACTATAGAATTCTGTTTCGACGAGACTATGAAAGTAAAGAAATAACAATTACTTGTTTTTCAGATGCTGATTGGTGTGGAGATAAGGAAGATCGAAGAAGCACAACTGAATATTTCTTTCAAGTCTTTGGTGCCCCAATCTCATGGTGTTCGAAAAAGCAACCTGTGGTGGCATTATCATTGTGTGAGGCTGAATATATAACAGGATTCTATGCTGCATGTCAAGCAATTTGGATCAGATCGGTACTTGAAGAAATGAAGTTCAGAGTGAAGAAACCTCTTGTGTTGCAAATCGACAATAAGTCAGCCATAAATATGATGAAGAATGATCTATATGGAAAAAGTAAGCATATCGAAGCTAGATCTCACTTATTGAGATAAAGGTAAATCGAGGTGAACTTGAAGTTAGACACTACTTAAGTGAAGCACAGTTGGCCGACATTTTCACCAAAGAATTGAAGATCGATAAATTCCTGAATTTAAAAAAGAAATTAGGTTCAAAAAGTTAGAAATGAAAGTATATGATTAAGTTCAAGAAGTTTCGAGAGTTCGCGAAAGAATGGAGATTTGGCAATAAAGATAAGTTGGGAATATGAATATATATCAAAGGATTAGACAGGAAGCGAAGTCAAGTGTTGGCCTAAGACGATGATGTAAGAAGCTTTCTTTTCCTTATTGGGATGAAATTCAGGGACAAATTTCAAATTTAAGAGGGGTGACAATGTAATGTCTCATATTCCCTTAAATGCTCAGTTAGATGTCAGAAGTTGTCAGTTGGGACAAATTGAATTCCTAAGTGTCTATTAGTTGCCAGTTGAGGTCAATAGAGTAATTAATGGACTCGTAAGAGCTTAATTATTACTCAAAGAGATCGAGTTTTACTAATTAGTATCCAAAGGAACATTTTGGTAACATTAATAATGAGACAATTGGTCTAGTAGTAAGAAAATATCAATTGAGATATTTTATTACCAACTTTAACACTAACCACATAATATATTATATTATATTATATTATATTATATTATATTATATTATATATATGTGGAGAGAGAGAGAGAGAGAGAGAGAGAGAGAGAGAGAGAGAGAGAGAGAGAGAGAGAATTTGTAGAAGGAAGAGATAAGAAGAAGAAAGAAAAGAAAACCACTAAATAAACAAAAGGAAAGAAAGAATGAAATGGGAAACAAAAGAGAACAAGAGAAGAGGAAACTCACACCACCACTAACCTTCATATTCTTCATCATTAATCTTCATCTTCTTCTTCATTTCAAGGTGAGTTTCATAGCTAGACTTAGGTTTGGTAAGGAAGAATTTCATGTATGGGAAAACTAAGGTTTTTGTTATTATTGTTTGATCATGACATGATGATGTTACTTACATGTGTTATTGTTGTCTTTGATTCCATGGTTGCATATGTGTATTGTTCTATGAAGTTATACCTCATAGTTCCTTGATTTGGTGTGAGTTTATGATAGTATATGAGTTGGGATGGTTTAGAAGTGATTTATATGTGAAAATTGGGTATTTTTCAGTCTACTTACAGAGGTAATCGATACCATATATGGATAATAGATTACCGACTTAAACTTAGAGTTTATAGATGTTTTCAGGTCTAGTAATCAATTACCACAAACTGGTAATCGATTACCACAGATAGTATCGGGAAAAAAATTCTGAATTGAAAATAATGTATCTTGAGAACCGTAAGTCGGAATGACGCACGGTTGAATGGGTTGGAAAGCCCTTTCAATGCTCTATTAAATGGGGAAATAAAAGAATAAATTTATTTCAAGGATTGATAATATAGTGATAATAAACTATTATTTATAATATGACAAAATTGAGGTTGGCTAAATATCTTGTTCCATGATTCCACCATAAAACGTGAATAATGCCTTCAATTAATATGAGACTCAAATCATTGAAAAGTTAATCCAATAAATTATTATATGGTAATGAGAAACCATGATTGAAACCAAAGATGCTTGGTGAATGATGACAATAATATGAGCTTATGTGAACTACCTTATGTTTGATACATGCTTGACTTGTTGTGAATAATGAATTGGTTAACCATATCATAATAACGAGTGAAGAAAACATAGGATGGAAATTAGGTAAGTGAACTAGTAATATAACTTGAACTAGAATATATGACTTAGTTGGTAATATTTTGGCATAGGGGTACCTCGGTGTGTATCATGGATAAGTAGTCGCTACAAATGAATCAAATTTGGAATTAATATGCTTTGTATGAAATATGGTGTTTGTTGTGAGGGTGAAAGTGATCACCTAGGGATTAAAGGTTAATCACGTTTATTTTAACGAAATAATAATGTATTTGGAAATAACCCATTTGTCGTACTCGTCCCAAACTATGGTGCTTATGAAAAGTAAGAATTGGGATACATGCACTATTACTTCGCAAACCTCATAAATGGGTTAAAGTCTCATAGAAGAGAAATTTCACTCATAAATGGGTTTAATTCCATAGATCAGTGGAATTCAAAGTGATTTAGAGTCACATACTAGGAAGAAGGCTCAAAATGGGTTTGAATCCCACAGGG